GCGACGAGGGAGCGGGGAGGGTGGTGTCTGTTCATTGCTCTCTGCCGTAGCCTCTCTCCTTCCCGGGAGGACCGGGGTTTTCGCTTATTTCGGGGGATGAAGTTGCCGCCCCGGGAAGCCGGCCGGCTGAGGGTGCGTGGCTTTGCTGTCCCTCGGGGGATGCTGTTCTGTCCTGCACTGTGTTGTGAGGGCTCTGAAGGACTTTGCGGTGCCCTCTTTGGAGTGTTAGGCGCGAGGACCTGGGGCCCAGGGAGATTTCAGCAAGGAGAGGGGACCGGGGGAGCCCCGCCAGTGGGATTTGGAGACCCTTCGCTTCACAGCTTTTCCAGCGAGCCAGATACTGCCCCCCGAGGGCTTCCCGCGCCCCCCCTTCTCTCTCCCTCCTCCTGGTCGCTACAAACCCTTTCTTCCCATCCCGCTGTACTCAGCTTGCTCATAAGGCCCTGGGGGGTTGCTAAGCCAGTGTGTGGTGTCCCTTGGCATCCTTCTGGCAAAATATGGATATGAATTAGGAAGAAAAAAGGAGTGTGTACTTAGGGAAGAGGCGGGTTGGTGATCTAGAAAATTAGAAAGGACAGAATGCATATGCCCCTTTTGGGAGGTGTTCATCACCTGGCTGGAAGCATCGCACTGTGTATTTTATTGCTTGAGATTATTGTTGATAGACAGCCAAGAAGAATAAATTATGGGTGGTGAGATTTTCTCTTGCTTTTAGGGTAACTGGACTAGGTGGGCCAAAAATTTACAGGGGTGTCATTGGTACTCGTATTGGGTGTTTATCTTTCCCTTTAGTGTTCCAGAAAGTGCATCCTCTTAATGAAAATCAATAAGGGGAAGGAAGCAACATTTCTGACCTACTTTGAGTGATTATGTCGGAGAGGATATGAGGAGTGGATACTGTTTTTAGAAAGATTGCTAGGAATCAGGGTGATGGGTCATTTTCATTTATGGAGCAAAAATAGCTTAGCTGATAGCCCCGCTGGGAAGAAAGGACAGACCCCGTTTCTTTGTGTATAATGCTGCCTGCCACCTTTAAGTTTTACCCAGGCTGAATTATAGAATATCTGCATTCTAGACATCATCCGTCATCCATAGATTTTGTCTTCCTCTCCTGTAGCACAAGTCCCAGGACAGACTGAAATGGAGAAGAGATCAAAGGCATGTTGAAATTCGGGCAATCCGGGCAAGATCTCAACAAGCAGCTGTGTTTAATTTCCAAGTTTAATAGTATAATTAGTTGTCTAATCTGTATTTTGCAACTTTACCTATCACCTGGGAATAATCCATTCTTCCAGGTTTCTGCAGAAAGCTGCTGCTTGGACATTCTCAGATCGAACAGTTGCAGCAGGACAGACTTGAAACCCTGCCTTCAGCCCTCAGCCCTCAGCCCCAACATGCAGAACATATTCCTTTTCTGAAGTGAAAAGTCTTCAGCTTCTTCTAACATTAATTCTTAGTTATGAAGAATCTGAAGGTCACACAGTGGGGTTGATGCTTTTGGTCACCACAACTAGGCTGATCCTTTAGATAAGCACGTTTTACACATGTACAAAGAATGGAGTAAGAGTCTGCAGCCTAAGACAGAAATATTGCAGCGAGAACCAGGGAGGTGACAGAAGGTTCAGGAAGGCTGTGTCCAATTAGATATTGCCTGTGCCTCAATCCCTTGAGGTCTCAAGTTTGAATTTCCCTCTGAAAATGGGAATACATGAAATAAATAGGAGGATTCCACTGAGCCTTCTTGGTGTGGGTTGTTTTTAGAAATGGCGATGCACCATTTCTTTTATATTCTTCTTGATGGCTGACAAACAGCTGTAAGATGAGTGACGGCGTTAGAGGTTCCTTTGGAAATAGGAGATGCCAGGTAGCGTCTCAGGGGTTGAATCTGTTTCTTGACACTTGGTCTTACCAGCTGAGCTAATTTATAGAATTGATCATTGTTTCCTGACATTGTTTTTAAGAGGAAAGTGAGAAGGGCAGGTGCTTTTCAGGCTTTGAGTTAAGCGTCTGCTTGTGCTTATGGGTAGGGAGGGGAATTCCTCTGAGATGCCGCTTTGGAAATGTGGGCCAAACTCCTGTGAACAAAGACAAAGTAACCATTTTGCATCCACTGCTGCTTGTTTATCTCTTTCCACTCTTTAGTAACAGAAAAGGAGGTGAGTGCCACGTGCAAGGGATAGCACCATGCGTGTGGGGGAGAGTGAGAGCAGTTCAAGTGAGTGGTTTGAGGCTGGGCCATAAGCCCCTGCACAATGAGGATGTTGAAGCAGATTATGGAAAGATCTGCAGGTAATTCTGAACTGCATTTCCCCCCAGTGGTTTGAGTCTCCCTTCACTTCTCAGTGTTTTTAGAAAGGTAGTCATGGTGAACTAAGTTACATAGACTCTCATTTTCCTTGCCTGGTTTTAGAGGAAAGCAATGAAGGGAAAGGGTGAGATGTACAGAAAATTGGTCTGGGAGTAATCTAGTTATGACTGCCTGAGTTCAGAAAAAATGCCTTTCAAAAAGACAACTGGGCGATGGGTAAAGTTTCACTTAGATTTTTGCAGAGGATTGGACTCTGGGGTAAAACTCATAAAATATAGCTTCCTTCATCAAAATCATTGGATTATGGAGTTGAAAAGGGGAAAAAAATGATTACTTTGGAATGCTCAGCTGGATCAAATCAACAGGGTGGAATCACCAGCACACCCAGGAAGGCTATTGTTTGGGAGACAAATTAAAGTCAAGTCAGTGCCAGAAGGTGAAGGACAGTAATAGGATGTGACTTTGGTAGCTCATGCTTAAAGAAAAACATAATATAAGGGGTGGACATCAGAAAGTACAGAGTTAATATTCCCCAGGGTTTTTGTTTTGTTTTGTTTTTAAATGGGAGAACTTATAATAATAGGTCTTATCAGGGTTTTTTAGTATCTGTCTTCCACTTGTAAAATGATAGTAATAAAAGCTGACCTACTTATCTTTATTGTGAGGGTGAGATAAAATTAGTATAAGTTAAAGGGAAAATATCTATATGTGTTTGAGGGTTGATTACTGCTAGATGAATAGACCTAGATCCTGACTGATATATATCAAGAAGGGTCCAGTGAGAGACTTCAGAGGGTCAGAGGATAGGCTGACCCAAGAAGTGAATGGAATGGAATTCTTGACTCTTTGAATAATAGGACTTAATGGGGCTGCCTGAGGAAAGACAGGTAAAGGGCAACAGATGATTCAGAATTGGAGGTAAGGTATTAGAAGATAGAGTGCATGGAGTAGAAAGAAAGAGCTAAGTGGATTATGTGTGCATCATTTAAATTTGGAAAATTAAATCACAAAATAGCTTGATTCTTAGCTCATTGCTTATAAAATCCTACATAATACGATTCTACTGGTCTCTGAATCTTGAGTGAATGATGACTTTTTGGCAACAGTGTTTATTCCACAAACATTTATTGAGCTTATACTGTGTGTCAGGTGAAATATCAGATGGTGTGGAATTACAAATTAAAAAAATAAAATGTAATTTGGTAAGGAAGAGACAGGTGTGTAAACAAACAATTACAGTGAAGTGATTGGTGTCAGGAGAGAAGAAAGGGGCAGTCAAATCTAGCTGGGAGGATCAGAAAATGCCTGTAGAGGAAGTGAGTGAGACTTGAAGGGTGAGTAGGAATTTGCCAAGCAGACAAGGTCACGTGCGAGTGTGGGCTAGTTTGGGGTGGGGTGGGGTAGGAAGACATTTCTGGTGTAGAGCACATTGAAAAAGGGCAGAAACACAAAACAACCTTGTTAGAATTGGTTATAACTGGATGGAGTACAATGTGCTCTGAGGAGCTAATGAGACATGAGTCTCAGAGGAAGGCGGAAGCCTGAATGAATATGAGGGACCATGTATTATCCTAAGAAGATGGCCTTCATTCTCTAGGTGGTGGGGAGCAATAGAAGGATTTTAAAATCAAAAGTAATAAAATATGCTTTAGTTTGACAGCAATGTGGAGGCCATATTAGACAGGTGGGAAATACAATTATTAGAAGCAATTATAATAGTTCAACTAAAGATCGACAGATTCAATTAAGAAGTAGCAATGAAGATGGAAAAGAGGCAAAATGTTAGATAGAATTGACAGTAAGTGGATGTGGAGGGTGAAGGGTTGAAGGTTTCTTGCTTGATTAGAGAGAGAGAGAGAGAGGGAGAGAGGATGGTTGGTGCCTCTAACCTCCTTGAGGAAGAATGTGAGGAAGAGGAGATTAGGAGCTAGCTTGGGGAGAGGTTTACTTTCAGAGTTGTTCAATAGGTTGTTGGGTCTCAGGTCCTATTGCCCAGGAGCATGGTCTGGGTTGGTGTGGAGATATGGGAATCACTTGAATGAAAAGCTTGGTTGAAACTGTTGGATTGGATGAGATCATTCAGGAAGTGAGAACAAAGAAGATGAAAGATAGGACTTGAGTTTTACCAACATTGGGGAGGGGCCAGAAATGGAGGAGTCCACAAAGACAGGTAAGTAATGGCTAGTATAAGGGAAATGGGACAGTACAGAGTTATGAGGAAAGAGAAAATTCTCTGAAGAAGAAAGGGGTCGTTGTGGTTTCTACTGCCCAGAGAAATTCAAGTAAGATGAGGACTGAAAAGGGAAAATTGAACCTGACAGGTCACTGGTGCTCAGTGCCAGAGTGGTTCCTGTGGAGTGTTGGAGATGGGTTGAGTATTAACTGGGCGGTGAGGCAGTGGTGACAGAATAGAATTTTATTATATGGCCTTTCTAGATTTGGTAAGAAATTGTGTCTTCCAAGTCCACGTAAATCAGAGAATTTGTAAATGGTCTTACTGTCTGTTTTAGACTTTGATAGGAACAGTTGAGAGATGTCTTTTCTGTAGGAAGTTTCTGAAGGCCATGGGCTGTGGGTGAGAGTGTCAGAACTTCTAAAGCCACGCT